GAAGGTTCCAGGTACAGTTATGTTCCTGTCTGTCAAAGGCTCCTTACGCACGAAAATAGGAGAGTAGCTGGTAGTCAAGGTGTGAGAACCAAAGTGGCAAATCTGTAGGATTCTTGCAGAAGCCAGAAGCTTTTTGCTGTAAGAAGTTAACCATCATTGAAGCCAAATGTATGCAGTGATTCAGACAAATCTGAACTGAACTGAGTGCTCTTTCAGCACCTACTGGCATGAATAAATCATCAGCTTTATCGATCTGGGCATTTGCAGTGATAACTGAAAATGGGTTTTCATTATAAATATTCCGATTGATCCAAATTATTAGTAATGGCTACTTTAATTCTTCTTTCTTGACCAGAAGCAGGCACTCCTAGAAGAGATATCCTGCTTAATGCTAATGAAGAATTAGCAGGCTGTAGGACGCTTTCATTTTAATAGGTTGAGGTAATACTGCTTGTATCTTTTAGAAGTTTGTCCTTCTATGTTATTAACTATATCCAACAGTGACTGTACTAGCTTAAATTTAGAGCCTCTTAGGAAAAAGCAATGAAAATCTGTCATGATAAGGAACTTTTCCTAACTGAATTTTAATACGTTGGACAGTTTGTATCCCGTTAATTGGTCTAGCTAGAAAATTAAAATATCTGTTCCATAATTCTTAGCTAATTATCTCTGCTTTTATTAAGTTTTTCTGCAATTACTGTGCTTAGGTAAATAATTTTATTAACAAAGCTGTTTATTTAGAACCTTGTTTAGTTTATGCATTTCAGAAGAGATATCTATTTTTACAATTAATACATTGTTTTCTGTAGTACTTCTGTATGGAGAGTATTCTTATTACTAGAACACAATCAAATTGATACAGTAATCCAGAAAATACCATCTTTAAATATTACACTCAAAAGTGAGGGATTAATCTGGGATTTGTTCTTTTCTGAACACAAGCTTATCCATTTTCTCCTTTCGTCTTGGAATAAGAACCTTGTGAAAACTTCACACAAGGCGAATGTTTGTTTTAAGGAGACGAAATGATGGGTTTACAGTGAAAGCGTCGGACTGAGCGTTAGAAGAGCTGGGCTTTGATCCCAACTCAGCAAAGCACTGAAGCGTGTGGCCAACATGCTTATGTTCTTTCCTGGAGGGGGTAACCTGCCAGACTCTGTCTGGTCCTGGAGAAGCTATTTTAATGGCTGTGATTCAATTTTCTTGTATTTGGAATTGCTGTAATACTTAATTACTTCACAAAAGTGTGGTAAGACCTAATCTGTCAATAGTAATCACTTTCAGATCTTAAAAAGTGGAGAAGCATAAAGTGGTTGGAGCATTGCTGGGTTCTTCAATAAAAATGGAACATAATACAGGAAACCTGCCCAGGGATGCTGGATACCTGCATGCTGCAGGACAGTACATGAGAGATCAGAGTCCTGTTTTCATTCACTCTATTTCATAATCTAGATTCCACGCTTGTTATGTTACAGTCACCCATAAAAATAGCTAAGTGAAAAAGCACAATGTTTCTTTGCTTTCATTTGGGTAGTTTTTCTCTCTCCGGGGGCTCTGACTCGGCCAGCAAACCCGGGTCTCCAGCTTGTTTAACTGCTAACTCCATGCCAGCATTTGGTTCTTGTCCAGTCATTTAATCTTTGAAGCTTAAATAACTATTTGTGTTAAGTTGCTTGAGAAGGAAAAGCTTAGTAGTGGACATAGCCTTGAATGGTACATGGCTGTGGGCACTGACAGATCCATGGGAATTCTGGAGGTCGAGCCCGCTGAGTTTCTGCGCAGGGAGCAGTTCACCGGGTCTATGGGAAAATGCCGCTGCTCAGAGATGGATTCCTTTTGGTTGGTTAACCTAACAGTGATATGGCTACATAATGTTATTCTTTTGTGAACTATTCAAATTATTTAAAAGACCTTTTACCGCAGTAAAAAACCAATGTTTTATATTTACAGCATTTGAAGGGCTTGATTTTTCATCTACATATAGATGGGAGCATGAGATGTATAAAGCTTCAGAAGTAATGCTTACACAAATGAAAGCACTCGTATTTTACAAGAAGCTTATTTATAATTTTTGGAAACTTGTGGAATGATTCTCAGCTTTTAGGCTGAAGAAACCGAATTTTGCCATAAGATCCCTACAAGCTGCTGACTTAAGTGGAGTCAAATCTAATGACTCCAGCTCCGGGTTTGTCCCTGGATCTCAAGAAGTCTTCAGTTAGAGAGATTTTTGAGGGGCTAATCTGTGCTTTGCGTGGACTAGATGAAGTCTCTTGAAAATTCTGCCAAACTATTCATTGATTTTCTACAGATAGTATCATTTTGCTGCCATTGCTTGTATCTTGTTTTACCTTGTTTGTTGCAATAAAAGCTTTGTGAAAGGTTAAGTTTGCTTTTAAGAAAGCCAGATTGCGAGGAAAGATAGACATGCATCTCCTAAAATTAATAGATTTTGCTTGTCAATGTGAGCAACTTGTAGTTCATTTGGGATGAAATTTTTATTATATAGTCCTAAATTAATCAACTATTAATAGAACATTGGTGGAATCAGTTCTTTAATCAACAGGATCCTTTGACTTCCATTGTAAAATACATTATGCTTTGAATATGGAATATGCAAATACTCTACCTCCCACTCGTGCTATTTTCAAGACCTTAAAAAGCAGCTGTAGAAATGAAGAGAACAATAGTTTGCTTTTCATCCTGGGATAAACTGAGAGAAAATCGTTCAGATTTGATAGCTTTATGTGGTCACATATACACGTAAGTACGTTTAATCCTTTACATCATTCTTTACTATACTCCACTGGTCAAATTAAGTATCTCGGGGACTACTCCACCAAGACAGATGACTGTGCTTCCCTTAGATTTTCCTCAGTTAGATTGTATTATATACTTTTATAAGTTCTGAAAATCACAGGAACCTTGGTATTGTCTAAGCAATTAAAAATAAAGTCTTTTGTATTAGCTGAGAGGATATACTTGAATTTGCTATGAAAAATAATTCATTCTGGTAATGCCACATGAAGTGTGCCAATAATGTAGCAAAGGCAGTAGGACTGTACCAGAACTTCCTCTGCTGCGCAGTGCTGTGGCATAGGTGACCTTGTGTATCCTTGTCCTAGGTAGTACGCACAATGTACAACGGTATTCCAGAGCCATACATAGTCCAATCTGCATAGAGCACATTGAGTAATTTGTGGGTTTGTTCTTTCACCAAAAACGTTTATAGCTTTTGGCTTTAAAAATAGTTCTGGAGCATAGCAAGAGAGAAGCAGCTTTGGCCTAGATATTGCACAGGATGGCAGATGAACAGGGTTGATTTCATTTTGGGCATTTTGCCCAGGACACTTTTTATAGAACGTACAGTTACTCTGGGGGTTCTTGGGCTGTGGTCACATTGGTTTTTTGGATTTATTCTTTAGAAGGGAGAGGTATAATTTTGCAAAAAAGAAGAATTAATGTAAATTTCAAAATCGAAGTTCTTTGAGTTTTAAACTTGTATCAGTGCTAGTGGGACTCGTATTTTCTCCTTGGGGCTGCCTGTTCTACGCTCTGCACACGCTGAACCCCTCCTCATCAAGGAACATTCTGAAGCCTGTTCTTCCATTGTTTACTCTAATAAATGTTATTTGTTTCCATCTCTGGATCTGAATGCAGTTTTGAGCTGTGACTGGCATTTGCCTCACTGCTCTCATGTAAGATAATAAGAGCGAAGCCTGTTTGACAGATGGAAAACATTAAGGCAAAGAAAGATATTACCTGTTTGTTTCAACACCTGATATTTCCTATGTTACAAATTGAGCACACACGGATTCAGAAGTGAATTAGCTGAGGCTGTTGGTCTGTAAGGATATGTATTATTTTACTTAGTCTTTAATAAAAATATAAATTCCTCATAATTTTAGCTTTTGAGTGAAATAGAAATAGAGAAATGCAATATCCATGCAAGGACTCTGCTTTGATTTTCCTGTTCTTTAAAAACTTAGCCAGTGATATAA